AGAGAGAGAGAGAGAGAGAGAGAGAGAGAGAGAAAGGGGAGGCAGGGGGTAGGGTGCAAGGAGTTGAGTTGAACAATAAGCCCATTTCCATACATCAAAATAATTTCGAAACTGTTTCACGTGTCGTATAATTACAACGCAGGAACAAAATACTACATGAAATTATTAGTTCGTGAAACAAAGCTTTTCGAAATGCTAATGACACGAGCAGACCAGAAGAATCTATTTTCGGTTTCAGACATCCGGTCTGTCCAGCTGTGGTGCAAGAACCACCAATTTATTTTCAGATACTCAACAGATTACAGGTAATGAAATATTTTTAGCTCCTGACAGTCAATAAATTCTTATAAAAGGAAAAGCTGGTACATGTATTGCATATTCCTACTGACATAACAGTATAACAGAGTCCAAACTGTATCACAATTCGAATATTTATTCCTTGTTAATCTGGATACTTGGTACCACATTTTGCAATACAACTAGATCTACAACCACTGCTGACTGGAACCAAGAAATCACCAAAAGATTCTTGCTTTTTTTGTGTTCACAAGCTCACATTTATAAGAAAAGAAAAATAATTTCTCAGACAGTTTTTACCAGAATTCATCATCATTATAAGGATTCAAACAGTTTACGAGGTAGCTCAGCGTGTCACTTGTGACTTTGATATGTCGTTGACAGTAACGTCGGCAAACGAACATCCTTTCCCAGTTGTGTCAGGTGTCCCAGTAAATCCTTGGAGCAACATGAGTAGTCCTTGGGGAAAAACTGCGTCTTGCGCCCCGGTACCGTGCTCCTTAGAAGATGTTATGAGTGAGCAGCTTGCCTCAGATTTGGAGACACAACAGGTGAAAGAAGAGTGGGAACAAATACCTGAATCTGTTGAGGCCACACCTGAGCTCAGGTAAGAATACAGTCGAACCTACCTTAACGGAAACCTGTTTTAACGGAATCCCCCCACTCCCACCCTTTTTGTATTCCTTTTTTAATTACCTGTATAAAACGGAAACCTGTCCAATGTGGAAACGGAAAGAAAAATCCGCTCCTTTTTCAAGAGTTTTACCTAAGACAAAAAATGCTTTGCCTGCTCAGCCCTAATTTGAAACAAATCTCACAAATTTGGTTCCACAGGCTCTAAACTTAACTTTTATCTCCGAGTTCCTCGAATCGTTGTTACATGGCAGTAAGGGGTGGCATTTGTTGACTGTGCTTGTTACCCAGATGGGTGGGGCTAAGGGTGGATGGAAGCAAAGGAGATGTTCAAACGTTTCTATTTTTAATAGGTCAAACAGTGGTCCTATGAAATACAAGCTCTGGTGGTAATTGGAAATTATCAGAGAGGATAGCAGTTGAGATGTGGGACCCTTGATCTCATTGTCTGGGTCTTTGAAAGCCCCCTTCCATCTGCCCCCCTTAATTCCCCTGTCTAAGACGGAATTTTTGTCTGGCTCCCTTGCGATTCCGTCTTACAAAGATTCAACTGTATATATGGAAAATAAAAATGTTTGGGATTCAAAGCATCACATCTGTAAATCGGATGCATCATACTCTTTTGAAGGTTAAAAAGTTATTGTTTTGGGCTTTATTCTCTTGTGACTTTTAATACTTTTTTTGTAAGTTACACATCTCATATATATACGATCTGACACTGTCAAAACTACGCTAACAACCACCTATTCTAGACATCCTCATTTACAGTGAACCACCTGCCACTTCCCCCCCTACGTTTTCTAAATGATAATGACAATGTCCAAATATACAACTTAAATGAAGATGATCACTTTTCTCCTCCAGAATGGTTGAACTGAATATATAATAATAATAGGCCTTTGCCAAAGCAAAGTAAGTGCTTAACTTTGCCATCGCATATAGTAAAAACCCTTGCCATCAAAGGCAAAGGCATATTGGGGAAAATCCCAAGAAATTGGGTGGTAAACATCATCGATCAGCGAGATGTGGCAGCAAAGTGGTAAAGAGTGCCAGTGCACCAGAATGTTTCCAGTTTAGTTGGCGCTCTACTACTGGACTGTTCTAACAACTAGTTTAGTTGCTTGTCTGCCAGATTATACAGGCTTTGGGACTTTCCTCGGTCATATTCCAAACATTTTGGTGGTTGCAGTTTGTCATGGGGGGGGGGATACCTTGTCCCCTTGATTTCTTGAAATTTGTTTCGTATAGTCACTTGTTGTCGCCAGTCACTTCTCAATCATAATTTTTAGCACTGCAAAATTATTTCACTCCAACAACACTGCAAAATGAAGCTGTCCACCCACCCACACACTGCAATTGTAAACACCACTGTCTCTGAAGAAAATGCCCCCAACACTGTTGTTCAGGTGAGACTTATGCTGTGCCTGAATGCTTAATCTTAGTAGACCATGGTTGATTGGGCGGGACCTATGGTAGACTGCCGTGCTGTTTGTGAGGAATTGTTATGATTTATATTTCTCATCTCTAAACACATGTTTTCTTAATCGTTTTACTGCTCGAGATCCCTTCTTTCTCTAATGACACCAAATAATCATGTCTACTTTACAGTGATGTAGCAGCTGCCTCAACAGATTCTGGTTTGTCTGATGCTGAGTTGGCTGCCAAACTGGCAGCTGAAGAAGCTGGCGGTGATCCCAATGACGAGCTGCTGGCCAGATACTTGCAAAAACAATTTGATGAAGAATATGATGCCATGGTTGCGCAGAAAGAAAAGAAATACAATGGCACTAGCAAAGGTAAATAAACATGTAATAATATGCTATGTTCAAAGTATTTTTAAGAGTATGATGTATTAATCTTTCTAATAGATTATCCAAAGTTGTCATATCCCAGTGCAATGTCCTCGGTAGGTTTTTATTCTTAATGATAGTTTTTGATGAATATGTAGGTACGCATTTAAAAATGAGTTTAAGATGGGTTTTCTTTTTATGACAAGTTGAAACACAATGTATGCTTTTGGAGAAAAGTAATGAGTTCAAATGACCATAATTGTTATTGAGTTATGGTGATATTTGGTTGAATGTCTTTTGCATGTGTTTATTATCAGGTGCCTTTGATATCAACTTTGAATACTGAAATGCAATTATTTTTGCAGGGTTATTTATTTTGTGTGTCTTGTTTCAGTCTCAATTTCATTTGAGAATTACAAGATGAAGCACAGACGAGACCAGGATGGCAACCAGCTGTTGGATGACGATGATGATGCTTATGATGAAGACTTTCCAGAGGTCCCGCAACCCACATCATGGGGTGAGCCACTAAGTCTTAGTCTCTTGAGCATTTTCATTGAAAAACAGATGAGGCACAGTGTTGTTTCAGAACTCTAGCCCATACATTTAGCAGCTAAAACAAAATAAGACTCATAAGTTTACTGAAAGCCTAAAACACATCTTTGCTTTGCTGGGAGAGAGGGGAAAATTTTGTATTCTTGTCTCATGCTTCTAATCCCCTAGCACATACTCTTCTTCTCACAGTAATTTGATTCAGTTATAATTCATCATTCAATTTCCTATTTTGAAAATTGATCTGTATTGACTTTCATCAATGAATTTTTATGTGGAAAGTCCTTTTTTTTCATACCTGTCTTTAGTTTTGTCAGTCTTGTTCCTTTATTCCCACCTCTTTAAATGACTGTTCATTATGCCGATGTGCAAAAATGGGGTAAAGTTTTTATTTTGTTGTATCTTGTATGCTCACTACAGAGACTAACAAACCTGTCATTGGAACAAAGGGGTATTCAGGGCAAGGGAAAAATATCGTCACCAAACACGACAAGGTTATTTGTGGACGACGGAATGCAGAAAGATTGATGGATGTGAGTCCTAATTTTTTTGTTTTTCTTCGAAGAATTCACTACTGTGTCATCACTGATACAAAGTACGATGTGCTCCAGCTGTGTCTAAATTATGCTTTTGTCTGCTTGAGGCTTTTCTGCAGCTCTTTACTTAGTGTATGTCATCTCACCCTTGACATATTGTCAACATCTTTCTCTGTCTATCTCTTCTTCTGTGTGTCCTGAGATATTTTTGAAGGAAATTGTGATGTACCAACAAAACAGATTTCATTCAGTATTTTACTTTTTTAAAATTGTGAGCTTTCGATATTGATTTGAAATAGCTCATCCTGTAACTAAACTGAAAGACTAGAGAGATAAAAAATTCATTTTTTTTTCGCCTTGAAAATATTACAGTAATACCATTGCATTAATTGCTTGGAAACATCTTGTAATGTGTAAGTGTTGAAATCTAAGGATAACGTTTTAACTCCGCAGATTTCAACTGAGAATGTACTTTTGTTCTTTAGATGCCTCCTGGGTTTGAGATTGGTGACGGAGAAGGAATGGACATGCAGCTGCCAAACCGCGTGTACAACAAACTGAAAAATCACTCAATGTCAGAGGCGAAGAGGAGCCACAAGGTTCATGAGAAGAAAGACCACTCCACTGCAGTGAGTAATCATTTTCACAGAATTTGACAATATTTTTTAAAAACACATGAGCATTGTAATACCTGGTTATGTACACAGATATACGTACACACATGTGCAAAAATGTGTATGCAAATTTTTTATTTCAAGGACTCTTTTTGTCCCTTAAAGTACATGATGAGCAGACATTGCATTTTAGTAAGTGTAGCCTGTGTTTCTCTACAAGTTTGTAAACTTTTCTGTAATTATGTTGTCCGAATAAGCTACATGATATTGCGCATATTTCCGGATTAAGAGCTTGCTTTGAAAGTGTTTAAAATGAACAAATTTAATTCGTTGGGGTTTTTTTGTTGTTTTTTTTTAATCAGATCAAAGCGGTTGATGAGAAGACGAGAATGGTGCTCTTCAAATTGGTCAACTCTGGGTACCTGGCATCCATCAGCGGGGAAGTGAGCCAGGGGAAAGAGGCCGTTGTGCTGAAGTCAATCGGAGGAATGTGAGTTGACTTCGTTTTGGTACCCAGCCAGATAATGCTTTATCTTCTTTTTGTATCAATTTCAAAGTGTACATGTATGTATAATATTTAAAAGAATTAAACAATTATTTCTCTCTTGAAAGAATTTGCTTTCTGGGCTTGTGACATTTTAAAAGCTGGCCGGGGAAATGCGTCACCATCAAAGGACATTACTTACTATTTTTCTCAGAGCTCAAAAAAGACCAAAGGAAGCTTTGAACTCATATTAGGTACCAGAAACTAAATTTTCAAACTAGCTGTATGCCAAATTTATCTGTTCCATTTGAAAGGCCAATATCCACTGAGCATTTTGGTACCATTCTTTAACCTCTCCGTCAATTTTAAAGAAAATTGTAGTTGTTTAAAATTTGATCAAATTTGTTAAAGTCAGTCACTGGCTGCAACCCCATGTTTGACAGACAATAAAAAAGTACCAAGAGCAGTAAACATCTCCACATTAACAGAGTACAATCACTATAACAAATATATGGAGCCTAAATTTTTTTCACGACTGTGAGATCATTACAAATCAGTATTTTATCGCCTCAAACACAATGATCTGTCGTTATTTCGACAAAAACACCGAGCGTTGACCCGGCCGGCGCCGCACCAGCCCTTGCGGCGAGCGAGTCGGCTCTATACTGTAGTGTACCACGCGTGCGGGATCACATGCTTTCCGAGTCTCGCGGAAGGATTGATGAAAAAAAATTCCAAGTTAATTACTTTATTCTAATAGGACACAAACTGATCTTTTAATTGGTACCTTTTATAAGCTGGTATTTTACATATTTTGTGTACAAAGAGATCTTTAAAAATCTTGACTGTATTTTTAAAAGCTTTCTATTTAGACGCCAAAGGCTAAACATATATCACGGGAAAGCACGTTTAAAGCTCTACAGTTCTCCGTCAATGGAAAGACGGTATTTAATCAACCGTCGTTCCACGAAGCATTTGAATGCACGCGTGTCAATTTTCAACCGGCCGACCACACATTCCGACCACGAGGGGCTTCGCTTTCGTCTGCGATTCTCCAGCTCCTAATAATCAGACATATAAACAACTTACACCATTGTAACGAGGAAAAGCTGAACTTTTACAAGGTGTATGGCATTTGGTGTTTTATAGCGAAAGAGCAAAGAAACAGCGATTGGAATTACCCCGATTTCACTGATACCACGCGGTCGGAAGGTCGCGAGTGCCCGCGAGGCTGTGTTTACGCTACCTACTCATATATACATGTATGCTTTTTAAGTGTGCCCTACAGAAAGATAATGTATTTTAGATTATCATGATAATTGTCCTTAATTTTGTGTCTTTATATCAGGAAAGATGACGAAGAGCTGCCTGGCCACATAATCCTCAAAGTGTATAAGACGACAATGCTGGACTTCCATACGAGAGCTAAGTATGTGTACGGGGACCACGTTCTGTCCAAAGACAAACTGAAGAAGCAGAACCCACGGAAAATCATCAAGTTGTGGGCAGAGAAGGAATTCCTGAACTTAAAAAGGTTAGAGGGGCTTTATGTAATAGAGTGTCTGTATTAAGACAACCACTTTGTCAGGTACCTAAATGTCCTTGCCAAAAGGGACTTCATAACTTACAGACTGCCTGGTGATTGAAGTCCCAATTGAACCATGGCTTCCAGCGTAGCATGGACGCTCCAGAACATGCATTGTCAGATAAATATATTCAAAGTAGACTCTTATATATTTCACCGTTTCAATATATGTATCATAACTCTGGTTTTTTTTCAATGATTATTCGAAAAATGGACAAATGTAAACTTAAAATTGCTTGAGGTACTGGTTGAGAAAGTCCATGATGCAGCCACAAAGGCACTTTATTCAAACCCTTTTTAACTCACTGGGCCTTGGCCAGTATAAAGTCACGGTGGTCACTCTATACTGGCCATAGTCAGACTTTTAAGCAATATTCTCAGAACTAAATTTACATTATGCCTCTTGCTTAGTTTCTGGCTCAAATAATGATTCATTTTTTCTTAACGTTACTAAGTTATAAGTAAAACTTTTTTCCACATTTTAACAGATAACCCACTGTTTTCAAATTAGGTTAGCATTTCTGAACAATGGTTAGATTAGAGAATGTTGTAGTAAGTTTTACAGCTCTTGCAACACAATAAGGTCATACAAGTGCTGAAGGTTAGTGGCATTCCAAGAGAGTAACAAACACAAAAAAGAAGGAGGAGAGATAAGGACGATAAATGATTGATAGGAAAGTAAGAGCAAACTACACGAGAGCACCCACCAACCACTCACAATTGAGGAGCGTGAAAAGTACAACACACAGAGAAATCAGTTGTGAAGGAGGTAGTTGAGTAGGGAGAGGGTTAGCATTTTGCTGACTGGTGGACCCTTTTCTAACCCACGTTTTTATCTCCCTTGTTCAGGATGCAGCGGCACTCGCTACCGTGCCCCACTCCGCTGACCCTGAAGAAGAATGTTCTGGTCATGTCCTGCGTCGGGGGAGAGGTCCCGGCACCAAAGCTGAAGGAAGTCAGACTCAGCACAGAAGATTACCAAGATGCTTATGAACAAGTTGTTCAGGTAAAACCTGTCACCGAGTTTGAATCTGGTCTGCTATTTAATTGTAATAAAAGTTAAATGATAGATTTATTAGGTTTTTTAAAGTTTTAGTAGAGGTTTTACGGCACTCGCAATTGCGTAAGGTCATATGAGCGCCAGAAGATTAGAGGTGTTGCAAGAGAGTAACAAACATAAAAAAGAAGAAGGGGAGATTTAAAGGACGATAGATGTTTCATAGGAAAGAAGAAGCAAACCACACCAAAGCACCCGCCAACCACTCACATAGATTTATGTATCATTGCTGAATCAATAATAATAGATAGCATTTGTATAGCAGAAATTCCCGCTCACCAGCAAGCTCTATGCACTTTACAATCTATATTATTACTTCAACAGACCTTATAGCGTTTTTAAACAATCTCAACTTCCTGGGAAGTATACAGTGCAAGCTGCTTAATGCATGACAAGAGTCTTACAGTGAGCAGTTGAAATGCAGGCCTACCGTCTCAGTCCTTCAGAGAGACTTACTTCAAGCAACTGAACTGAGAACAAAAAGTGATTTCTTTCTCTGGTTTGTCTACTCTCCACAAAACTGAAAGTATTCCTTTCTCCGTCTCGTCCTCTCAGTTGATGAAGAAGATGTACCACCAGTGCGGCCTGGTGCACGCCGACCTCAGCGAGTACAATCTGCTGTGGCACGACGACAAAGTCTGGGTCATTGACGTCAGCCAGTCGGTGGAGAGGGAAAACGCAAACTCTTACGAGTTCTTACTCAGAGACTGCCAGAATGTTTGCAATGTGAGTAAATGTGCATGTTGCCAGCCATTTTTCTCTTTAATCCTTTCCTTATGCCCAGGGTCAATTTGTACCCCAGGGGTTGTATTCTTCACATTTTAGAATACTTCTAGTGCTAAGATCTCTTTGAAAAAATCGTTTTGACAGACTGCTATGCAAAGCGTATCCTCTTTAGAAAGTGGGGGCTAAGAGTTCCCCACGTCATATGGATACGATAGCAAAACACGATGTACGGATAGGGTTAATGTTTGTCACACTATTGTGCCATTAGTAGTATTTTTATTTGTGAAGTTATCAATTAACATTTCATTCTCATTAAGACACACTTAAGATAATTGAGGAGGTGACCTGCTTCAGCCTTGCCCTCTGGGACAACCTCTGCCAATAAAGATATATATATATATATATTCAATAAGACATTTTCCTCACATGGGAATCAAACTCACATTCTCTGAACTGAATGGTGAAGATCTTAACCATTACACCACTGATATCAGTTCACACCCACATCAAAATTTGTACTCACAGTTCTAATGCCAATGTAACTGCAGAAGTGGAGGCTTTAAAATCTGAATAAAATCCAATAGAATTCTATAATGAAATAACCCAATGTGTGTAACAGAACTTCTCTTTCATTTCTCCCCCCCCCCCCCCCCCCCCCCAGTTTTTCAAGCAGGTGGGCGTGCATGGTGTAGGCTCGGCTGAGGATCTCTTTATGGAGATCACCAACATGTCTCTAGAAGGACAGGGCAAGGTTTTTACCTCACAGGTCAGTCTATGGTGGATGGAAGCAGGGAGTGACCAGTTTTCTTTTTGTTTGAGGAGAGAGATGCACTTTGATACAGTAGTGGATATTGACCACGGCAGGACTATGCAGAATATATAGGCAGAAAAAACAAAGGGGAAGAAAGGAAGTAGGACCTGCCAATGGTGCCCTTTCAGACACGCTCCAATTTCAGTTTTCTTTCTTGCGAAGCAGATTATTTTGTTGAAGGTTCCATCACACCTTAGAATAATTCATTTGGTGTAGTTTTAAAAAATATCTCTAGCGATTCCTCCAGTGTTGCAGATCATTCTGACTCCCAAGTGCCATCCTCAAGATCATATGGTTTTTTAAAGTTTTCGTAAGATTATTACAAGACGTTAAGGTCTTCTGTAAGTACTGAAGATTTGAGTAACAAGAGAGTGAGTAACAGCTTTTGATCATTTAAATTGATGCTCATTAATAATAGCGCCTCAGAGTGACCCAGTTTTAGTCCATAACCTGTGTTGTTATGTTAATGAGGGGAGAAACTGGTAACATTTCCATACAGTCGAACCTGCCTTAATGGAAACCTGTCTTAACGGAATCTCCCCGCTCTCCCATTGATATTTTCTTCTTTAATTACCTGTATAAAACGGAAACTTCTCCAACACGGAAACGGAAAGAAAAATCCACTCCCTTCGGAAGGTTTTACCTGTCTAAGACTAAGACAGAAAATGTTTTGCCCGTTCAGTCCTGGTTTGAAACAAAACTCATCCGCCGTCTCTAAACTCAACGATATTCTGCCGGGTGAGGAAGGGGAGTAGGGGTGCAATTTGAGGGTAGATGTTACTCCATCTATGTGAGCCCTGAGCGATACAGATGGTCAGGGTGGTGGGTGTGAAATCTCATGAGTGCCAGTGAAAGTGCTCGAGTGGTGCTCCAGCACGGAAACTTTCATTGGTAGCCAGAGGCCAGAAGTGTGAAATTAGTTTGACCAATGCCTGCCGCCCTGATCATACAGCCAGCCAAGAAAAGAGTTCCTTGAATCGTTATTACATGGCAGTGAGGGGTGGCATTGGCTGACCGTGCTTATTACACCGATGGGTGGGGCTAAGGGAGGAAGCAAAGGAGATGTTCAAACGTTTCTGTTTTTAATAGGTCTAGCAGTGGTCCTATGAAATGCAAGCACTGGTGGTAATTGGATAAATAAGACTGACACCTGTCATCATCAGAGGTGATAACAGCTGAGAGGTGTGAAGTTTTGACCCCTTCAGATTGCTTGCCGACCGGATAAATGACCCTTGATCCCACGGGCTGGGCCTTTGACACCCCCCCCCCCCCCCCCCCCCCCAATTAAATTCCCCGGACTAAGATGGGATTTTTTTCGGGCTTCCTTGTGATTCCGTCTTACACAGGTTCGACTGTATATAGGATGAAGCAACCTTAGCACTGTAAATCTCTCTCACTGAGTATTTTTCACCTGTTATTTCTTGGTATGAGGATAAAGAGCGGTTTCTTTTTCTAGAAGTACTAGAAAGTCAATTTTCAATTATTAAAATTCAAGTGATTGTTGAGATAATGATTTGCACGACTAAAGAACCACATACAACTATCATGACTACTTTTCTTACTGAAAACCATCACAATAAGTCAGTTCATGCGTTATGCTGTGGTGGTTTACAGGTTTCAGCAATGAAATCCGTGACCTTTAATTAACATAAATCTTCAGATCTTTTTCAAGAACATTATGAAATAAATCATGGAGAATTTTTAATAGCAAAAAAAGTATTTGTACTTTCAAAAAGATTAAAAAACGACCAGACTAGGGTTGTCGGCCAATTGAAAATAATCGGTGCTCAGCGTCAGTGAGTTATGGTTGTATCAATTTCAGTTCTATATATATATATATGTGTGTGTACTGTAACTGTAACATTGAGTAATGAAGTAATTTGTTTTTATTGTCTTTATCAGGTCCAGCGGTATGACAAGGACAACTATTCATTTGATTACTTCTTCGACCAATCAGAAGCAACTAGAGCCCAATGCCTGGGCTCAGACGACAGCAGCGAAAGTGAAGATGAGGGCGAGGCGACAGAGGGGGCGGAAAATGTTGGAGGGAAAGGTGTTGACGAGACTGTTGCGTCTTCTGCTCAGACTCGGAGAGCGAAAAACGAGCAGGACACATCAAGCTCAGCACAGACCTCTACGACGTCGTCAAGTTCAGCAGACAGATGGGTTATAGATTCCGCCGATTGTTCATAAATGTGTGCATGTATGTGTTGTGTGTGTGTGTGCAAGATTGATGCTGCTTGAACGAATGTATTGCCGTGATTGAATATGTAGATGAGTTATATACTCGACTCTTGAGCATGCTAAAGTAAGTCATTATTGCAAGTAGCCCCTTGGCTTTTCAAAGTCAAGAGTTTGTTTGGTTTGGGGGGGTTTTGCATGTGAGAGATACAGATGTATATCTTTGATTGTTCCTCTGCTCCAACCCAACACACCCCCCCCCCCTCCCCTCCACCGCCACCACCATCCCTTCATTTCAATTGTTTGGAAAACACTTGCAACCGCGCAAACAGACACCCCCATTTCCCTTGTCAGTGCCATTGTAGGCTACACACTGAAGTTAAAATGATGGGAATGGGAAATTGTTCCGGCATACTCAATACACATTTATTATGATTGGAAGTGTGCTTGGGTGGAAAGTCTGAACATTTTAGAGCGAGTTATCTGCCAATATGATTTATAGTTTGTACATAATGATAATACATCATAGTTTTATAATATGACACTCACAAACAGTGCATTTTGTCATTCATTAATGGAGTTATGACTTGCGTAAGGACCACAGAGATATAAATGCAATCTATACTATACAGAAATATGTTTCCCCAAAAATGTGTTTTAATCCGTCATTAAATTTGGTATTTTTCAAGTGTATATATTCATAAATATTACAAAGATTTTACCTTTTCCTCCTCCATAGATATTATTCTCATCATTTAGAAGGTCAGTACTAGATAAATCTGAACTGCCTTTGGCTCTGCAGGATACATACCAACAGAAAGGAGTAGATACTTTACCAAGTGGATATTTAACTTATGTTCTTTGCATACAAAGCTAACTAAGAACCATTACTATGCCTGAGACACTGCTACTTTAGAAACATACTTTTAAAACTAATTTGAGTTATATTTGGATTTGGACGCATCTTTATTTTTTTTTATTTTGAAAGCAGTTATTCATGCCATGCAATTATTCGTAAGGTGTAAGAATTTACTTTTCCGATCTAGCGGCCATTTGGGTGGTGAAAAAATTTTAAAATCCAAATTTTCTTTACTAATACTAATACTAAAATACATTCTGGCATATATATTCATGTTGTGCGACATGCACTTTGTGTGGTGAAGAGTTTTCTTTCCTAATTTGTGTCAAAACATGTTTTAAAATAAAATATACATTAAAAAATATTTTGAAATGTCCTTCCTTCCTTTATTATCTTGTGAATTGTTCTTATTAATTGGTACCGGTAAATTTAGAATGTATGTTGTTTTCTGGAGGGATTTCGACGTATGCATTCTTTTTCAGGTTTATCCTGGCAAGAAGGAAGGCTAAAGTTGAAGGAAAGTACCGTACACATCCCTATGTAAACTGGATCCTACTCTAATTAGTCTAATGGTCACCTGTCCTAGACTATCATCTGCACAAATGATCACTCCCTCCATGTGTAATTTTATATTATTATCATTATTACAGTAGTCTCTGCCTAAACGCACGGTGCTCGGGAGGGCTCTGTGGGGTGCGTTTATACGGAGCGTGCGTTTACATGAACCAGTGCTAAGGAAGTGACGCAGTCATCTCATCATTGCCTTGATATTCTGGTGACCTCCCATGGGGATGGGGGTCACTTTGGCAGATAATATGATGACTGTTTTGTGAAGGATTCCTCGACTACGGTTAACCCTATCCGTACGCCCTGGGGTAATTTTGTAATTCTTTACATTTTAGAATACTTCTAATACGAAGATCTCTTTGAAACTTTCAGTATTTCTCAAAAAATCATTTTGACATACCGATATGCAAAGCGTTCAGATCGAATTATCGAGTAAATTTCCTCTTTGGAAGTGGTGGCACAGAGTTCCCCACGTCGTATGGATACGATAGTATTAAAACACGACGTACGGATAGGGGTACAATGAGGTTGAATGGGGGGGAGGGGGGTGGAGAAAGACAGACTCAAAGTAATGATATGCACCATAAAATGTCGGGAACAGATAGCCTAAGAGGAAACTGTTGGTGATAGGCCTAGTCATAGAGATGACGACGCAGCCACATGGCATTCCAAGAGACCACTCCCGACCGTAACTTCATGGACGACATCAGAATCATAGATCTCTACATTTAGAGAAACATTTCTCTTGTGTTTCATTGAACAAGAACGTACAAGTTCTTAAGCGCAGCTGATTAGGCTTACTTGACTAATCTTTAATCCTATAGAGGCGTATCTTGTGTTTTACAGCATTCACTCATGTTGCGCATCATAGGCCAAGGTCTAACTGAACATTGAATATCGCATCGGTCTTGGTTCTGTGCATCCTTATCGAATTAACTACATGTACCAAATAGTGACTCCTCTCAGTTTTAGTTTTAGTAGAGGTTTTACAGTGCTCTCAACTGCATAAGGTCATTTGAGCGCCAGAAGATTAGAGGTGTTACAAGAGAGTAACAAACATAAAAAAGAAGAAGGGAGATAAGGACGATAGATGTTTCATAGGAAAGTAGAAGCAAACCACACCAGAGCACCCGCCAACCACCCACGACTCCTCTCAACAATGCCAATAATTTAAACACCCATTAGTTAGCCATGCCGCCGACAGACAATGCTCCTGCTTGTTTTGTTTTTTTGTTTGAATAAAGAGTATGCCCTACTCCATTGAGTTTTTTAGTTTTATAAGTGTTTTATGGCACTTGCAACACAATACAGTCATAAGAGGTGTTACAAGAGAATAACAAACACACAAAAATGGGTGGTTGGCGGGTGCTCTGGTGCGGTTTGCTTCTTCTTTCCTTTCAAACATCTATTGTCTTTATCTCCCCCCTTCTTTTTAAACTTTTTTGTGTTTGTTACTCTCTTGTAATCACCTCTAATCTTCGGCACTTATATGACCTTATTGCATTGCAAGTGCCGTAAAACACTAAAACAAAACAAAAAACAAGAGGAGGAGGGATAAGGGTGAGCAAACAACACCAAACACCCACCAACCACCCACTCCATTGAGTCTGACACAATAACAGTTGTATTATAGTTATAGTGCAGAGAAGAATCATGAAAGACAGACAGGAAAATAGAGAACAAGAACAGAAGTAAGTAGGAGAAGTAGAAGGGCTTTCCAACTGCCTGCGAATCATGAACTACACTGTACATATTAAGTAGGATATTTATAATGGAAAAAAACTTTTTAAAGGAGGTCTCAGTCCCAGCTTATGCAAGTTTGTAATTGTTGATAGTATAGATCTATAAGCCCTCATCAACACAATAGCTCAGATCATTACTTAGGAGGTACCCCCCGGGGCAGTGCCACTGACTGTAGTGTCTTTAGGCCATTTCCAAAAGGGGCACATTTCTCGTTCATGCACAGTAGAATTGTAAATGGGCTGATTCATCAAGTCGCGCTCATAACTGTGCCTGATCAACAATAGGGAACTACTGCTTTTTCTTTCCTAATCCTTACTATTGTCATTTTCCTCTACTTCTTTTGTATGTTTTTCACACTCTCGTGACCTGCTATTTCCGGGGTGCCTTGATAGTCGAAGCAGACCTTGTTCTGTTGAAGCTAGAAAGGTGAGCAGAGTAAGTCTGATTCCCTGTAAAGAATTCTCTGTTAACACCCACCCCTTGGCGCTCATATGACCTTGCAGTTGCGAGCGCTGTACAACCCTCTACTTATAAATTTTTTTTTAAAGCATCACTTATGGGTCCCTGCTTGTCAGAGCCGACCCCGGCTGAGACGGATACAAGGTTCCTGCAGAAAGATGTAAATATATATATATATATATATATATATATATATATATATATATATACATATAATACTCAATGAAAATTCTCCCACGAATCAAACCCACATCTCATGAGTGCGATGGCAAAGCACATAACAGCTAAACCACAGACATCTGTGGCCCCAGCCTGAGCTTGCAATTTAACACCATTATTACCTAAAAAAAAAAGAGTAAAAATACAGCATCCGAGATACAGTAGAACATGGCTATAGCGGGACTTATTTTAGTTCCAGAAGAAAAATCCTGCTTTAGGAATGCAAAGGGGAAATTACCTAAAAATTTATAAAAATCCACATGATTACACTGTCCCTATCGTTTTATGCAAGAAAAATTCTGAAATTATGCACACTGAGCATAAAAATATGAAATATGCGATTCTGTTGATTTTAAAAAAGAATGATAAAGGAAAATAATCAGAAATTAAGCCAAAAATGAACAAATTTTGCTCAATTATGCGGGGAGCATAAAACCACGGGGACAGATTACATCCCTTCCATCAATAAAATTCGCGCTTTAGATTAGTCTTCCTTTTCATGTCAACTTCGTTGATCATCTCGGCCTTGAATTCGAGTGAGATTACCTTTCGTTTTTGTTGGAAGCCATATTTTCCTCGGTTTATTGTTTGTGCTGCCTATCGTACCGGTAGGCCTACAGTAGAACTGGTGAAGTGGATGCGTACGTATGCCAGAGCATCAACGATCGCAATTAAATGAATCAGGAATCACACACTACACGCTCTCCTCTTCTTTTACTTTTTGGCCTAGCCTAAGGCTATGGCCTGTACACTCTTATACAGTAGGCCTACTTAGCATCTAGGCTACGGCAAATCACTTTAAAATTTGGAGTGGCTCACGTAACGCGTCTCTCCGCACCATCTCTCTCTGCCGCCTGCCCCACCTCACTCATCATTGGACTAGCCAATCACTACCAATCACTATGTCGCACCGCTGATTGCCTTTTTGGAGCCCGCCTACAGTCTCCCCCATCCCCCAGCTAGAGCTCGCTCGATCTCTCCTGCTGTATTCGAGTTCGGGCCTTTCCTTACCCCGCTATATCCAAGCATAGGTAATTGAGTTTACATATGTATGTATGTAGTATAGGGTTTTACGGCGCTCGCAACTGCTATGAGTTTACATAGGAAAAGAAAAGGGGATTTCGGTAAGGTCCTGCTATGGTCATGTTCTACTGTACTTGCATTCCAAAAACTATGACTGCTGTTGTTAAGTTTTAAAAAATTTTCAAGTTTCAAGGCACTTGCAACACAAAAAGGTCATATAAGTGGCGAAGATGAGAGGGGTTACCAGAGAGTAGTAACAAACACAAAAAAGAAGGAAAGATAAGGGTGATAAATGTCTGATAGACAAGAAAGAGCACACCACACCAGAGCACATGCCAACTACCCACTCTGCTGTGCTGTAGTTTGTAGACTTTCACCTTCCAGCACCATGGCGAATTTCAGAGATTATGGATACTTAGACTTAGACAAATGAAACGCAATAAAACTGGACGTTCAAAACAAAATACGAAAGCAAAACTAAAAAAACCCACTTTTCCATCTTCAACAGCATTTATTTCTACAGAGACTAAAAATACAAAACAATCACAACACATCAGGCCCAATCTCAACCAAGCATCCAAGAATCATTCATTCCATAGTCCATACATCCGTAAAAACTGAATGTGTTGATGATGATGGTGACAACAAAATGTGAAAGCTGATGACGATGTGAAGGTGGCGTGGCGTCTGCGAGGATAAATTAACTTCTTGTTCATCTGGCGTCGAAAACAATCACTGCATGGAGTCAAGGAAAATAAACTTGAGCATTACACGGACACAAGAAAAAATTTTAAAATTATGAAAGGGGTGAAAGAAACTTGTTTTTAAGTTAAGAGAAGCACATCAATACATTAACTACAGCGGAAAAAAAACAAAACAAAAATATGACCGACCAATCCTACATCAAGATACAACTCAAGGAATCAATCATCTATGAATTATGTAAAACTTAAACGAAAGTAGAATTCAGTATTTATTTTATAAGATAAAGAACATCAGAGTAACGGATATTCATAATTTTAAAACTTTAGAACTCATAAAATTATAAAATTTCAGTCAGTAACTCTTTATCTACAAGGGGGGTAAACCCACTATGCCGGGGCCTTTTTTTGGTACTAAATCTCAAAAAGACGAAAACATTAATTTGTCATCAAATCATAACAAGTGAACCTATTTTGATAGTGGACTAATGAATACAATCTCGAAAAATAAGAGATCTGTTTTCGGCAATAGCCGAAAAGCAATTTGATGGCGGAAGTTGTCGTAAAGGAATGTGCCCCAGCCACTGTCAGCGGCTCACCGGAACAGCAGTTCCGACCGCTTGCCAATGGGAGCGGCTTGCCGGAGATAAAG